TTTTTCCTTTTTGCGGGCTCGAACCCGCGACCTCTGTACTACTTGCCTGATACGGACGCATCATATCTACTGTACGATTAGATTAGATGGGACGGCAGTGCGCGGCACAGCTCGGGCTCCGCTGACACAGCCTCTCTGACTCACCGGCCCCCGGGGCCGCGTCAGCATGCTGCGCACGGACCAGCTGTGCACGGACCAGTGCGCACAGCCTCCCCTAAACTTCCCCTGTATATAAGCCGGCCTCTGCTGCCCTAGGGACCTCAGTTTCGACCTCTTGTCCCTAGGTCAGTAAGCATCCCTTGTATTCCTTTTCTTACTTCACTAATATATTATCTTGTCCCTAGCCTTAGGTTTGAGTGTAGCTCACCATCGCTTCGGTGAGATCGGGACAACCGCTGATGAATACACGGAGACTGAACTATCTTCCTATGACGGAGATTGAAGTGTCTCCGGCATGGGGAGATATCTCCGGCGTGTGGAGACACCTCCATCAATTTTCGGGCGCAAGGCGCTTGTTTCAAATTATTTGTGTCCCCTTTGGGAGATCATGTGACTGGGTCACCATCACCCGATCTCTTCATCAGCTTTCGGTAAAGTCCGGTCTCTTGTCGTTATCTAATCTGAGGGGCTGCCAAATCAGGATAACTCAGATTAAGGTTAAAAGCTTGCGTTTTACACGCTTTTCACATATTTTCCCGCGCTCTCGCGCCTTCCCCAGCGCTGGCTGTAAATAATATATTTCCGTGAGAGGCCGAAAACCGGCCATAATGAGATTCCCTGATACTATACGAGACAATTTCTTAGTTATTACCCAAAGCGGAGAATACATGTGACTAGGGTATTTTCCTCGCACCGCACGTGATAGAGTTCCCGTTCAGGGAGATAAGCGCCCCCTCAGAGAAATATCTCTAGACGCTGGGGATATCTCCCCATGCCGGAGACACTTCAATCTCCGTCATAGGGAGATAGTTCAGTCTCTGTGTATTCATCAGCGGTTGTCCCGTGAGATCAGTCGAACACCCCCAGCTCTCAAACTCTCCCCTGTCGCTTGACCCCAAGTCGCGACATTGAGTGTATCCGGATCCATCTCCTCAAACCGTTCTGGATGGAAAGCCTCCGGATCAGGATAGATCGATGAATCTCGAGACATAGCCCTGCGTGTGTAACACATTAGGACAAACTAGATGGTATTGCACACCAAGGCAGCTGACCAGACATTTGGGATTATGGTTGATCCCTCTGGAATAAAGTAGTCGCGGTGATATAATCTACGAAACCCTAACCCCTAACCTGGGTACGACCTAGGTGGACTAGAGGCGGGTTATTGTCTTAGTGAGAGGGGAGTTAGCAGCAAGGTGTCCCGCGGTTCGAGTGAACACGAGAAACACCCTCGGAAAAGGCTACGAACGCTAGGGATGAAACATTTGTCTTTCCGTTCTATTCCTTGTACTACTAGCGCCCATACTGGCGCCTGTCTTAGCGCTCACCCGCAGGTTGAACATTATGTAGCTTACATAATGGGGTCCGTGCGCACTTCGTACTCGGCATCGTACCACTACATTTCTTTCTTCACTAACACGACCACATAGACACAATGGTCCGTGTGTAGTCGGTACTTGTATAAGTAGTTGTACCACTAGTCGGTCGAACTCTAAGTTCGACCTGGTTATTCATTCAAGTCTCTGCTCCTCTTCGCTTGGGGTAGTGGTCATTCTTGACTTCCTTGCTCGATCTTCAGGACGACGTACTGTCCATAAGTCCTCGCTCATTGTCTACAAGTCAGGCATCGGTATAGGAGTATAGACCATTGTATCAAGGGAAGGTACGAGGTGGCTCGACACGTTGTCGAAGCTACTCGGAGGCTGTGGGTGGTTAGTGAAGACGATTGAAGCTCGGCAGAGCTCTTCGATGTATCGTAGAGGCAAGAGACACAACTCGATAGGGTGGACTTAGCTAGGATGCGGTTCGCAGTTCTTCGACAATAGTTGCAGTCGAAAGGTTCGTTGAGACGATATCGACGAGTAAACGCAGTATACGAGGTTTCGAGGTTACGCAGCGAAGAACGAAGTGATGCAGGTGAGGGCTTAGACGCAGGGCGAACTCGACTATGAGCTCTGAACTCGAGGGGGGAACCGGATCTTGTATTTTTGGAGAGAAGTACGACAGATTTTATACTACGCATAGGTCGCTATGACTATCGAGAGTGGCACACTAGTACAAGGGGCTTTGCATTGTCCCGCATGAATCTGCCTCACCGAGTGGCACATATCAAGTCCATTGGTAGAGTGACGTCATGCCGAACACGGAGATGAAGAGAAACATATGAACACTTCGGACCGGTATCCGTCGTTGAAGGCATGCCGCGAGGTTTGATACCTAATCGGGAAAGACTGGCTACGTCGGTGTGGCATGGAGCGATGCGCGCGCTTGGACGAGCGGCGTCAAGTGGCCCTATTGTCCGCCGAATGCGGGAGATGTTCCGAGATCTACGCGCGAGGCATCGGGACGACCGTGCCGAGCTTCGAGCAAGCGTAGCGCACCGTCGAAGATGTCGAAGAGCGTTGATAGGCGCCAAGCCCCTCTGGGCCCCGATACACCTCTTTTCGGCAGTCGCATCCCGCCTGGCACTTCGACTCAGTCACACAACAGTTCGATTTCGCCTTCGACGCTCTTCGACACCTTCGACGGTGCACGACGCTTACTCGAAGCTCGGCACGGTCTTCCCGAGGCCTCGTGCGTAGATCTCGGAACATCTTCCGCATTCGGCGAACAATAGGGCCACTTGACGCCGCTCGGCCAAACGCGCGCTTCGCTCCAAGCCACACCGAAGTAGCCGGTCTTTCCCGATTAGGTATCGAACCTCGCGGCATGCCTTCACGACGGCTACCGGTCCGAAGTGGCCATATGTTGCTCTTCATCTCCGCGTTCGGCATGACGTCACTCTACCGATGGACTTGGTATGTGCCTCTCGGTGAGGCAGGTTCGTTGTAGGAAC